AACATGAATATCTGCACAAATACAAATTCTGCTCAGTTATTGCCTTAAACAGATGGCATCATCATATAGCCTGTGATTTTAGATCGCTCTGTTATCGTGAGTGTCAGTGTTTATTGTAATAAAGTTGAAATTTCACAGGTCCCCAAACCTTGTTTCAAAAAAAATAAATGATTTTTTTTCCAGAGCCATAATATTTATTCCTATAACAACACTGAAGTCCGTTTATTAGCATTGAACATATTTCTGTAGATACTCATCACCATGTTTATATAAAATATACCGGGTCAGATTCATCAAACCATTTTCAGGACTCATTTTAAGGTTTTAACCTCTTCAAACTGTCCACAGTAAAGTGCGCCAGAGCAGGTTGGCTTTGTTAAAATGAACAGATTTGCTCTGAGGTCGTCAAAACAATTACTGCACCCTTTTTAATTTATGGTACTTTGCAGAAATTATCACAAGCCTCGCAAACCACACGTCCCAATTGTATATTTAAACATTTGGAAAGGCTAGAAGGAACAACGTTCCTATGGATTTTAAATTTGATGAGGCATAGCACTAAAACATTTCCCGTCTTAATGTGACTTGCATGCTCATTTCGGTGAACTCAGAACTCGTAAATATGAGTTACACTGCTGTGTTATGTAGGTGCTGTAACAATATAATGTGACAACATTATAACTGACTGCATTCAGTCGGAAAAGGAGGACTCAAAAAAAGAGGAACTAGAAGTAGAAAAAAAGCCCTAAAGTCATTTGTGTGCTTTGTGTTTAACCCGTTTCTCTTTTTTTATGCTGATCAGGGCTTTTGCGCGAGAAATGCTGGCGAGAAAAATCGGCGTAGTTGTGGTCGGCTTTCCAGCAACGCCGATCACAGAGGCCCGAGCTCGCTTCTGTGTATCTGCTGCACACACCCGGGATATGCTGAACCAGGTACAAACACACACGAGCATTTCCCACTTTGATACTTTGGATATATATGAAACATACATGCTCTGAGACTTTCCATTGTCCTCAGGTGCTCGATTGTATGAATGAGGTGGGAGATCTTCTCTGCCTGAAGTTCTCGCGGCGGAAATATTCCCCTCAGCCCGACCTGTGCGATGAGACAGACTTGGAGCTGGACAGCTGATATGACCTTTGACCCTTTGACTTCACAGTGTCTAAACTGAGCAATCATAAGCACACAGTGAATTCATCAGACAGCAGGAGAAGAGCCAAATATTTGGTAGCTGTTTGGGTTTTTTTCTGTTTTTTCTGTGTGTTAAATCATAATGTTGGACTATGTATTCGTTCTTTTTTAAAAGAACTCTTGTTTTGAACTCTTGAAATGCCGTTTCTTTATGAATATATGTATATGTGAAATGAATGCACGAGCATCTTTTTGATTGGTGTAAATCTCAAGATTCTTGAGTTATTTATTCGTGGAAGAAAATCACATGTTGTTTTGTTCATTTTCGATGTTAACCTCCTCTGCACTGACATCTGAGGGCATTTTTAAAGATTAAAAGAGGGCTCACTTTTTTGCAGGTTTTTTCTAATTACTTATGTCTATATTTAGACGTTGACGGGTTTTTATGGAAGCACTTTTTTGCTTCTCCTAAATTAATATTTGAAGTTTTTTAGAGATGCCCATGGCACTAATAGTTAGATAGTAATACACAATCCTATTTACTTACACTTTAAGAAACTGACAAATCTCCAAGCTCCAAATTTTAAGGATTTTTATACCCATTGTTCCCAAATGCTGTGCACAAATACCTTCTAAATAATAAATTCACCTTCCAGATGGCATGTTTTCTTTTGTTTTATTTTCCAAAGAGTCTTCCCTTTGTAACTTATATCCTGATGCATGAATGTTTACACTACTTGTGGCTGAACAGATCAGGCAAAAGGAAGATTTTGTGTTCCACGGTGAACTGTTTTTATAAAAACGTCCCCAGTGAAACACCACTTTCATCTCCACAGTAAATGATAGCCTTTCTGTAAATAATAGATCATGCAGCAATTACTTCTTTGACATGCAGTTAAATCTCAACAGCCCGCGCGCAGAATAAAAAAGGTGTTATGGCTTGTTTTGTGGCGAGACTGCTCTTATTCACCGCGTCTTAACAGCTTAATTGTTGATGTTTTAAAGACCTGCTGTTCCCTTTCACGCACAACACTGCGTTACAGTCGTGAAGGTAAGCATGCCGAGCATGCGGCACCTGAGCCAACAGAAACCTTACCCAGCAATTAGCTCTGAACTCTAAATTCTCGTGGTATGTGGTAATCATTTGATTAACACAGGAAGGATTATAGATAGATGATGAATGTGTGTTCACAGTGTGTCGGATTTGGTCTTGTCTGCACTTGTTTTTCCTCGGGATGTTTCTATGTTTGTGTTTGCCTCGCCATAAACAGCATAGTGATAACATTTTACAAGAGGAGATTAAAAAAAATATGCAGTTCTTGGGAAACATAATGAAGTACAAACATAGATAAAAGTTTCCAAAAAAAACAGCTAACTCTTGAAATCTGTTCTCTGTACTTGATCGCTTTGTGCTGTAAGTGAATATCTCACATCTGGCTCCTATAGCCAGCAACAATGGAAAACAGTTTCTTTAATCCGCAAATCTGTGATGTCATACCAATGTGCTGTTTCATAAAGATCTGGAGGAGATGGGGAAAGGTGGCCTCACCCCAGCGGGGTGCTCTAACATCTAACGGATGCCTGTTATTAATTTTTGTTTACATTCACCTTAACTCTAAACGTGAGCAGTGTTAAAAATTCAGCGTGGGTTTGCAGCAGGAGGGAGACGTGTGGAGATAGAAGCTGAAAAGCTTGAATTCATCCTCTGCCCTAACACGGTGCGTCACAGACATGGAGTCTTCAAATACTAAGCTCCAGTGTTATTATGCAGAAAGGCAAACTCTAACGTGCCGAGACTTACCGGCAATATTTTTGCATAGCTGCACAGCTGGAGAAAGGTTTGCTCCAAAAATCTGATATTTGCCGATGACTTTTGAGCTTAAAATTAAGCTGGGAGAGGACAGCCTATCTGTGGCTTTTTTCCACCTTTTTGTTGCATTATTCAGTATGCAACACTAACATGTTAAGAAACTGAATGACAGTGACTGCTACAGGATAAATTTCAATGATCTCATGGCCCTAAAACATGAAAAAGAACACTTCTACTTTACTTGAAGCAGATTGCATAATTTATTTTTATTTATTTATATTTTTTTGTAAAATCCTACAGCTATCAGCAACAAAACTGTCATTTTTAGTTAAATGTGTCCTAATCTTTAAAAGACTGTTTAGACAAAAAAGCAATCATGCTGGCAATCGACCTACTTTTAAAGCTACAGCTGTCACTGACATATGGACTTTAAAAAAAAAAACTACTCCAAAAAATGTCAAGTTCAAACAGGCTCCTGAGGCAAACTGACAAGAGTTCAGTAATACACACTGACTGCCAGGCAAGGTGGGGAGCGCGAGTCTTTCCGAGCTTCTTTCCAGTCACTTGTAACTGCCTTCAGCTTCAGCAGAAGTGGCAAATGGTCTGCGCTGGCATTCAAAACATCTGTGCAGCCAGACTACTGGTGGCAAGGCCCCAGAGACCTGCCTGCCTGCCTGCACCAGCCTCTTTTGAACTGCAGATCCAAATACACTGCACTTATTGGAATGGCATGTAGCTGCTATTCTGAAGAGGGATCCTCTGCTACGCCTTTGATGTCCACCACTGTGTCCAAAGCAGGCAAGCCATTCTTACCGCTCTCTGTTTTCCATTTAGACCGAGATTTTTCTATTCTAAAAAAGAGAGCGAGAGATCTGAAGTGAAACAGGACAGAACTTGCATGCTTTGGACAGCTATGCTTCTCCTGGGCTAAGAAAGACTGAAGCCTGGAGTAGAGCTGGCCTGGAAACTACTGATATAAGGGAAAATAATGAAAAAGGTCAAGGTTGGGGCAATAATGCAGAAGACGGCTGAAAGCATTTATTGTGTTTTAAACCCAACTCAGCCTCATCAGATATTCATGGGGTTCTATACATGATGTCAGGGGTACTCTATTAAATATTTAAGTTGTTGAACTCTTCAAGCACCTGCTCTTTATTTCCTAACGTTGGTCATTAGATTTATTTGGAATGACCATGATGCGTTCTGGTGCAAACGGGCATCAGGAGACTGCAGCTACACCAGTAGAGGTAAACTCAGGGCTTCAGTTCACCAGACCTGTGGATTTTTCTCACTCATCGCTATCCTACACCAAGATCCCAGATTACGCATGCACAGAAATAAAGCGTCCTTCTCCTGCGGGTTAAATTGTGCCACGAAAACCAATGTCAGGATGATTCCGGGCTTATTTTAGCTGTTACGACGCTTACAAATCATTTATGACCGCTAGGTAATAGGATCTTGTTAGTCGTCGTCAGGTGACAGATGACACGGAAAGCGTGGTCTTTTCCGGGCCAAGTGGATCAAGCAGAGCTGTCACCCACGTTAAAGCAGCGAGCGGCCCTGCTTGGTGCATAATTTGACACAGCGGCCTGTCCTTTGAAGCGGACAATAAATAGTCTCACAACAGCTAATCACATTATGCACCATTTGTCCTGCTTAAGTGAGATGTTACAACACCTTCTCCACAATCTGAGACGTGGCTGCTGCTGCTGTTGCTGCACACACGCCAACATGTGCAGACCTCCTGCAGAGCAGCTTTGGGTGTCTACCTCTGCGCTGCGAGGCGCTTGCGTATACCACTGAGCCTCCCAGGACCACCGTGGATACTTAAAGTCTCCATTGTCCAAACATAGTGGGGGGGTTTCCTGCTTGTCTGATTTGATAAGAAATTATGTCATATTAATTAATCTCACATATCAAACATGCTCCTTTAAGAAAATGTAACTTAGAAAATTTACTTCTGTTTTAAATATTTTGATCAGGTGACCAGAGGGCACTTTTGGAAATCGCCTGCAGCGGAAAGCAGAGGGTACCAATATACTTTCTGGGTGTTTCAGTTTTCACCTTTCTCAGGAATGCTGTGGACGTGAAAAGCTCCACCGGATTTCAGTTTTGCGAGAACTGGTTCAGAGGGACGAAAGAGTTAACCAGGGGAGGGCGCCTGCACGGGGGCGTTTGGTATAAAACCACCTCAAGAGCGCACAACAAGTACAGCGTGTGTCGGTAGTGTGATATGGTTTCTCTCCACCAGCGGCCTACGACTCGTTAAGAGACGCACGCGAGCCCGAGTCTTCCGTTTCTGCGGGGCCCGCAGTCCCGCGCGATGGATGCGCGCTGTTTATGAAGCAGACACAACTCCGTCGAGAAGTTTGAAAAGTGAAGAGCTACTTTTTACCTGCACTTTCCTTTATTCCCTCCAAAGTTAGGGCTCACCGGAGAATGCGCCGGTTAACGCGGAGTGCGCACATGACGAGAAATGCGTAAAGCGGCTGAGGTGGAAGTTGGGGAAACTGAAGCATGAGGCTCAGCGTGTGGGGGAGACACGGGGCTACAAGTTTCCCGAGCTCGGAGAAAGAAAAGCGTTAATGCTGCACGCTGGATCGACCCTGCAGGATTCGCTGCACCGCACTGATTGGCACATCAGCGTTGGCTCACCGCGTTTGTCTTCAGATCAAACTTTGTGAACCTTCAGTGAGAGGGACAACCTTCACGCAGGACAATACAAACATCTGCAGAGAAAAAACACTGGATCCAAACTAAAAACTCTTTCTCTCTCGCTCTCTCTCAACTATTTTTGCTGCCCCACCTCCGCTCCGTTTCCCTTCATTCTTTGTTATTTTTTATTTTTATTTTTTTTGCAATTGTGATTCCCGAAGTGGCTTCGAAGTGGTGTTGCGGCTCCTCGTCCCCGGCGGATCCGGAGATTGGAGTCTCTGCACCGGGAGGAGGCGGAGTCGGAGCTCCGACCACACCGCGGGCTCCAAAGAGCGGTCGCGTCAAGAGGATGGTGCGACTGGCGGCGGAACTGCTCTTGCTCCTGGGACTTCTTCTCCTTACCTTGCACATCACGGTGCTGCGGAGCAATCCGCTTCCCCAAGGGAATGTAACTGTGAGCCTGGATCAGAGCACAGCGCTTACAGAGGTGAGTGGGGGAAATCTGAGTAGCCTCGTTGGTGTTTTTTTGTTTAGTTTAGTTCTTCCATAAGGAGACATCTTCAGAGAAATTTGACACTAAATTTGGGAAATCTGAGGGGTGTCCGCTCGCAGATGGTTCTGATCAAATGTTCATATGAGTATGCAGCCCAGGTAAAACAAACCTTCATTACTTGGGGGGGTTGTCCTGTGAGTGAATGGAGATTGACATACGCACGGGATGTCCCCCGGGGATCTGTGGTGAGCCAGCCGAGGGGTAGAAGATGAGGCAGGGTCAGAGATCAGTGCCCCACACCAGACACACCTCCCTGTTGTCGGGGATTTAAATGCTAGCTGCAGGCACTCCTCTGTCATCACGGGCTCATCACTGTCATCCAGGCCAACACTTGATAAGGCAGAGGGGTCAGAGCTGAAGCCCTAAAGGTGCCCACTTCCTGCACAGGGTGTGTTTGCAGGAAAGTCATGACATTTACCCGCTTCAGGTCAAACCTTAAACTTCACTTTTTAAATCTGATCCTGCGTTTTTACACCTATTAGTGTAAGCAAGACTGTAAAGTTTGGAAATCTCAAGACACTATGGTCAAAAGACAGTTTTGCTAAAAGCTTGTGGTCCACCACAGAAGGTGTCCCAACAAAAGTTCACTGGAGGAGACATTTGTCAACACGACAGCACTTAAGGCAGGTTTAATGGTTTTAACTGCCCATTTTAACATAAAGCATAAAGCGCACAGTCTCCAGCAGAGCCCCAAATCCTGACCTGCGGGTTAAGACGGGTCTGGGATCAACAGGCTTTTTTAGAGAGTGTTAAGCATCCTTCAGCTGCTTTTTGATGTATATTTAGCATGCTACTGAAATACTTTGTTCTTCTCCTGGTGATAAATGGGTATTTATGCCTACTGGAATGGTATCCCTGTGTAAATGCTTTAATGGGGCTTAGGGGAAATGAATGGAAAGAATTTTTACTTCACCAGATCACTGCCATCGTTGTGACACCCGCGTATATGCCAAACAAGCCCGTGTTGTGTGGGATATAAGGCCATGCAAAGCTGAGGAAATATTCCAGGAATTTATTGAATATTTGTCACATGGCCAAATGCTGGATCGGATGAGGAGTAGCAGGGAGTTTCTCCAGTTGAATCGCAGTAAAAATAAATAAATAAACTTCATTCATGCCAACTTATATCCCAGCTTCAGGATCCTGTTTGACATTCGTCCAGATTTACAAGGGAGAACGTGGCCTGTGACGAAGAAGCCAGACGAGCCTTCAGGTTTCTTTTTTGTAAATTTTCTTTGCTCACGAACGCTGCGACTAACTGCAGATACGCTTCACTGACCCTCCACTGAAGACCGTGATGTCATCTTTCAGCCGTGCTTGTCACAGCCCAAGGGGTGTATTGTCATCCCGAGGTGTCATATTTAAAGTGCCATTCACAGAAGAACAATTGGCAGGATGCAGCTCCATGCACCTGAAGTGGAAAGAGAAAACTCTTTTGTCTGAGGCCTATTATGATCGCTGGAGCAGGAAGGCCTCTGTGGCTGCGGGAAATGAGTTAAATTAAAAAATGAAAATGCATGCAGTCAGATTTTATGAAATTGTGCTTTTCTTTTCAAGAGGTCCTCCATGGCTTGTATCTTCACCGTTTCTTCATGTAAGCAAACATTTGGGTACGCCATGTGACTAGGGAAAGGATGATTTTCTCTTCCACCTACAGAAGCGTAGTGTTGAAAAGCATCTGGCACAATGTGGACGGCCTTCATTTCCTGCCAGCTTCCCAGGGGGAAGGACCCCTGAGTTGCTCCCAATTGAAAATAGAGTCATGCCCCTTTAAGCAGCCCTCACAAAGTGAAAAAGGGGGAAGCGGGAAAAGAAGAAGAGATACTGTGAGGATGTAAAGGGGGTGGCCTGTGTGTGCAAGTGTTCATTAATGGCTTTTTTTGGGGTGGGGTGGTGTTGGGGGCATCCTGGGAGGCCCCCCAGACGAACCAAAGACTTGTGTGTCACTTTTGATCTTTAAATTAAAGCATTTTACTTTGTCAAGGCGGATCTCAGATGAGTGATCGGGAACACTGCTGATTTTTTTTAACATTCAAATGAGTTTTTTCTGTGTACTGTTACTGTATGAGAGCAAAGTTAGACGTAGAAAAAAAGCACATTCTTGGAGTGGCAAGTAGGGGAAAAAACATAAAATCAATAATTTGGGGGTGTAACATTTCATGACTTGTCCTTCAACACTGCCGAACTCATAACACGGAAATCTAGAGCGACAAAAAGCAGCTTATATTGGTGACCGATGATGTCAGAATGCTGTTCACATGCTAGCTCAATAGCAGTCAGAAAACCATCATCTCTGCTCGTGGCACCAAGGAAAGCGAGAAGCCGGCTGTTCAAAGGCAAAAGGAAAGAATGAAACATGAATTATTAAGTCAAGCTGATGGCTGCAACTCTGTTTGGAAGGACGGCCAGAAAAAGTAATTGTTTCTTTGGTCTTTGGTGGCAGAGAGAGAAACAATAAGACCAAGTGATTTGTAAATAACAGGGATGTTGAAGTGAAGTATCTACAGGCTGGGAATTCCACATTTTTAACTTCTGTATGTGATCCTAGCTCAGATTTTAATCTACTGCAGGTCTACCACATGTACAGAGATGCAATTTGCCATCACAGCAAAGCAAAAACTCTCCTTCCATCTTCTGTGACATTTGAGCAACAATCTTTAAATAATCTAGTCTGGAAACTATCTTTAAGCTGGCTCTTACTGCACATGGATACAGTGGAAAAGTTACTGAATACAATTTGATAGTAAATGACTGCTTTTATTGTTAGTGCAATATTGTGCTTTCCCCCCCTTGTTTGCAATATAATTAATGTTTAAGCCATAGATTAGGTGGGATTAGTGCTGATAAACTACCAATATTTGCCTATTAGCTGCCAAACTCTGTTTACAATCGAGTTGCAGCTCAGCAAGCTTCAACACTGAGCAGCAGTGACTCCAGCATAATGGAGAACACGTTAAAGATTGACTGTAAAGTATTCATATTTGTGTCAAGACTAGATAATAAGTCCGTAAATACCCATAATATGAAACAACAGAAGATTCTGATATGACTAGATGGCATAATTGAGGAATAATCCCTTTGTAAACACTGCGACTGGGTTTTCATGGTTAAAAAAAAAAGATTTCTACCTCCATGCTTTCTTTTGCAAGACAAACACGTGGGGAAAAGTCATTTTTGTGCTTTGATTAATCGTCTTAGAGTCTTTGGACAAGTTTCCATAAACGATGAGTTGTAGGGAAACGGCAAAAAAGTAACTTTTTGTAGCATTTGTATAAAAAAAGAGGTGGCCTCCCAGATAAGATCAACCACACCTGTTTAATTTGTTTACAGATGTGTGCTTGCATTTACACAGTGGACTGAAGCTGTGAGTGTTGCATTCAGGGCTGCCCCCCCTCGCCCCCTCCTCCTCCTCCCTCAGCGGGGCTCAATTACAGCCACTGAAATCTGAAGACTGGGAACTTGAAAGGCAGGGTTATCACATGGGCATCTCAAAGTCCAAGTACTTGTGATACATCCAAAGAGAGCCCTGTGATGTTCGCATAAAGGGTCGATAGCCGACGCTGCTGGAATGATGTTTTCCAGTACTGAGCTCTCTGCCGTAATTGGCTGGTTGTGAAGACGTCTGTGGTTTTTAGCTGGAATCTCCTTTTTCAGAATGTCAAATTTTACAATTGTGGACATAAATTGTCCTTAAAAACTTGTCGTCATATGTAAGTTATAACCTTTTTTGTGTGTGTGTGGTTCGAAGCAACAATTTAGATGCATCTGCTCTTCTTTCTCAAAGTTCTGGCCAGCGGTATAATCGTTGTAATTAAAGCAATCGCTCAAATTAAGAGATGGGATTTGAACGTTTTAAAATTCTTTGAAATCCATTATCACATTATCTCCATCTGGTTTTGAACTAAGGAACGCAGTGCTCAGTGGATGTGGAAGTCTTTCTGTGCAGCCGCCTCGCTTGAATACAAGTTACATTTATAATCCTTCCTCCCTTGCTGCGCCGTTCCATTTACAGCGCCTATATTGCCCCGGAGTGCACCTTGGCTGGACACAAACAGCTCCACTGGGGGCTTTTATACCCACCACAATGTGGCTGAGCTGACACTTTGTCTGTGACTGGCCACCGCAACCGTACAGCGCCGCTGCCATATTCTCAGGCTTCAGCCTGGCCACAAAAACACTAGGCAGGAAGAAACGGGACGTGAAAAAAGAAAACAAGGAGCGTGATTGATGGCTTTTTTTGATCTTATTTTCTGCCTCCCCACAACGGGGATGATTGCCGACTGCTTACGGCTGTCCAATTGCTCCTTCTGTGCATACCTGATAGGGGACAAACGCCTCAAGTGTCCTTCTGGGATGAATTTACAACACTCCTGTCAGTGCACCAAATGTTTTTCTGCCTACAAGATGGCAGATGTAATTATTTTTGCAATGTTTGCTTAGGTTTCTCTGTGTAGCCCCAAAGCAGGAAAACCATAGGTCCTACATGGCTCTTTTCTCCCAGCCACCATCAGCACATGCTATATATGTCTACGTTATATTTCTATGGTAAAGCAGAAGTATACTCTGTCAGTTAAAAATGGAAAAATATACAGTCTGGCTGTGACATTGGCTCTGAATGCAAGTTCTTGACAGATTATATTTTGGTTTAAGCAGGCAGACACACAGAATGTTTATTCCAGTGGCTCCTTCTTTCTGGGCTCCCAGTGGTCCACTGTCTGCAGGATTTATGACAGAGGTCATGGTTGAGTGAACCTCTGTCAACACGAGAGATCAATCTTAATGTTGCTGAGTGTGCAAACCCTGGATTTCTTACATATAGGGCTACTTAGTTTTTACAGCCAAACCAAACCAATTAGATTTTTTTTTAAAGTGATGACAAATTAACATTGCCCTCCTTTCTGTCTTCAACAGAACAACATAAATGCAAAAAGCAGCTCCTCAGCCCAGCTGGCCCCTCAAGACCGACGGTCTGGTCCAGAACACCGACTGGCCCATCGGCCTGCAACCCTCCCCTGGGCACAGGGCGGCAGCGTACACAAGGACGGCCCCGGCGCTTTCCTCCTAGATCTGCACAACTTCCCCGACCTCTCCAAAGCTGACATCAATGGACAGAATCCCAACATTCAGGTAAACCCACGTGTCTCCCCATCTGCCAGCATGCTTTGGCGCTTTTTGCCGCTTAAGACAAGACTACTCAAGCACACAGGACAGGAAGATCAAACAGGAAGAAGGAGGATAGTTTGGCGCACGTCATTAACCCCCTTCTGTCGCCTTTCCTCCTTCCTTTTGCCCCCCTTGTCCCTTTTCACACTTCCTGGCTCGCAGCAAAGCTGAAGAGACACGGTGAAGTCTCACGTCGATCATAATGACAGCTGAAAAGCAGATGCTAACCGGCAATGCTTCACTGCTAACCCGTGTGATGGGAGACAGACAGCAGCTTATGTAAATGTGCGGCAGACCCTTGCCCATAAGTCCCTCAGTGATGCAGATGGTCGAGTAACCGCTGCCATGTTTAAATCATTCTCCTGTCTAATCTAGCAAGGGGGTCTTTCCATTTCTGAGGGCATCGCTGCCAGATCTGAGCACGAACAAAGTGTATTAACATCTCAAGATGTGGGAAGAGAGCAGAGCAACCAATTGAGCAAGGGCGTGAGGCTATGGAAGAAAGGGGGTCGGGTGGGGGGGTGTCTTTGATCCTGAGATTCATCTGGCTTTCATGGTCTGGAGGAGGCTGAATCGCCCTTTGAACTTTGTGTTTAGGTGGAGAGAGCCCGAGAGGTGGGAGGGTGACTGCGGGGCAGGGGTAGAGTTCCCCCCTCATCTGGGAGGCACATGTGTGAGGACAGAAAACAGGGAGTGGGTAACTCTGTGTGTCGGGGTACCAGAAAGTGCCACCATCGATAGTTCAATTCTTCAATTCTTACTGACTTTGAGTCGACTTCTCTTGATGCAGGTGACCATTGAAGTGGTGGATGGACTAGAGGGCCATGAACCTGAGAAAGGCCTCCGAAAGGAAACCAAGCCCAACTGGGCTTCGCCAAACTGGAGAAACTGGTGGCCTCACACTTCGTCGTCGTCCTCTTCCTCCTCATCGTCTTCCTCCACTCATCAAACAGAGGAGAATGAGCGCTCTTACGGGAGCAACACAGAGGACAGCAACTTCCTCAGGCCACCGGCAGATTGGGACAGGAGGGGAAGCAAAGCTCAAACGGAATATGGTGAGGATTACAGTGTGTGTGTGCTTACAGGGAAATTTACGCACGCTGCACAATATTTGGCCGCGTCTTATTCGAGCACCGGTCCTCGGCGTCTCCACACATGGCCGTCGTCTGACGTGGAAACTGTAATTTGCAGATTTGCTGATTTAAGCTGTCACCATAATAAGTGCAGTCATCCCAGGCAAGCCTTTGGGAGCCCTTGATTGAAGCCTTTAACACTCTTTTATGAGATGGATTCCTCTGTGTTGTGGAGCTCGCTATGTGACACGGTTTAAACGCCTCGCTACATCAAAGTTCGGGAGCAGGAGCCGGGCCAGAGGCGCCGTTAAAGTCGCCACACCGTCCTCGCGAGACTCTCCCAAAGTAACCCCACAGATAAATCTGCCGGTGAAGAATTTACGCTCGCTGTCAGGCAGTATGCGTCCGGCCCGTGTTCTAGCATGCCCAAACCAACATGGTTGAACAGGAATGCGTGTGCTGTGGAAAATCTCATTTTATTCACTTGCACTACAGTGATTAGGCTGCCCGAGATATAATGCTTTTTGTTTTTTTGTAAAACCAAAGCCAGCGTTTAATGTTTCTGGCTTATCGCTGTGGTCGGATCTCATTCGTCGGTCATTTCATACCACACAAATGGACAAGGGAATATTTTATCATCATTACTGTCTCGGCTTTAAACTTTATAAGCATAATTGTGGACAGGCAGTGAGGATCATCCACTCAATCGTCCCATCTGTGGTCTCAGCACAGGTTATTATCTATCTTTTTCCTTGATTTTTGGTTAGTGTTGGCACCCAGCTCTGTAATATGCTTTAAAAGGGGAGAAAGGGCAGCAGTAGAAGAAGCCTATCTGGCCTGTATTCATACAAAAAAAGCTCATAATGAGGGGCAGATGGCAGCGGGGGGCCTATAGGAAGGTTGGAACCAAGCCAGAAATACTTCCACCTCAAAATGCCCACATTAATTCTTCTCATCAACGGAGTATGGCTTTTAAGATGCGCGTGTGCACGTGTGCGGTACAGCCATGGTGGTAGAGGAGTGAGGTGGTCGTAGAGCCTTATGTAACTGTTTCCATGTATGTGCATAACGGCGATGGGCTCAATGATAATTGAACTTAAACAATAATTTCTCCCCATTTCACTTCCCATTTTCAAACGAATATATCACAGACAGAGCAGCTCAGTGGCATCCGGTGCTTCTGTGCCTGGGATGCTCAGGTAGCAAAGAAAACGTTGATTTTTAAATTGTCTCCTGGATGCACAGAAGCTTTGTTGGAATTTCCAAAATGCTTTAACTGGCTCGCTGAAATTGCACTTTGACACAATAATTTTGCATTAGCGCAGCGAGCACGTGCATGTGGATAGATGAGCATATGTTGTATGTGCTTTGAGGAGCACACTACCCCCTCACTTGCCCGTATCCAAAACTGTCCAGGCTAGACTGATGTAAGTTCAGCATATGGCCTGCAACAGGGCTGAGGATCTTTCTTTCTTTCTCTCTGATCCAAGACTACATGGATGGAGAGGGGGACTGGAGTAGCTGGTCAGCGTGCAGTGTCACTTGTGGAAACGGAAACCAGAAGAGAACGAGGTCATGCGGTTATGCCTGCACAGCCACCGAGTCCAGAACTTGCGACATGCCTAACTGCCCAGGTAAAATCTTATCAATAGCAGACAAAAACCCACATCACTAAAGACATTATTCATAGTAAGGACACATGGTATGTATGTCCATGTGTTGATTTAGTGGTCTTTCATCTTTTGATCCAGCTTTCACTGTACTTTCATCTCTCTGAAGGTATTGAAGATGCCTTCAGGACGGCAGCTACTGAAGTGAGCCTGTTAGCTGGAACAGATGAGTTCAATGCCACAGAGCTCTTTGGAGTTGGTAAGATTTTTGCCTCCTCATGTGTTACTCCACACTATCCTTCATTCAGATGTTCTTACTCTATCAAAGGCATTTTCTTCCATCTGGCAGCAGTGCTCCTGCACACTCTCAGCATTCCTCATGCTCGCGCTGTGCTCCATTACTGTGCAACAGGACAGGAAGAGCGCAGCATGCAGCAGCCCACTCCCTCTTTGCTTTCTGTTCTCACTAAACTCAGCGAGCACACCTTGATTTTAAACATCTCACTTCTGATTTCATCCTCTGCAGTTGGAAAGTGTTATAAATTGTGTCCTGATTTCTTCCAGACACAGACAGCTGTGAGCGCTGGATGAACTGCAAGAGTGATTTCTTGAAGAAATACATGACTAAGGTGGCAAACGACCTTCCCAGCTGCCCTTGCTCTTACCCGACCGAGGTGGCTTACAGCACGGCGGACGTATACGACGCCCCCACGCGCAGAAATTTCCGCTGGAAAGACGCCAGCGGTCCCAAAGAGAAGCTGGAGATCTACAAGCCCACGGCTCGTTACTGCATCCGCTCCATGCTGACCCTTGAATCCACCACGCTGGCTGCGCAGCACTGCTGCTACGACGACAACATGAAGCTCATCACCCGCGGCAAAGGAGCCGGCACACCCAATCTAATCAGCACCGAGTTCTCTGCCGACCTTCACTACAAGGTGGACATCCTGCCTTGGATCATCTGCAAAGGTGACTGGAGCCGCTACAACCAGGCAAGGCCACCAAACAATGGGCAGACGTGTCCAGAAAACCCTCAGGATGAGGACTACTACAAACAGTTTGAAGAGGCAAGGGAATTCTAGCCTGCAAAAACACTGCCCATATATCCAGCTAAACCTCAGAAATGGCGCTGAAACCCTTTTTAATTCTCTTTTAGGTCAATTAACACATAAACTTTTAGGCTCTGAGGACAGACATACTGCTCTTATTGAACCACAAAGAATTCTAACAGAGTCAGAACCTGTTTTTTTGTTCGTTTTTTCTCACAAGGAACTTCTCTCAACATCATCACAACCAGGCGTGAGATATCACGTCTTTTTTTATTTGATTATTTTTTAATTTGGTTTTTACACTTTTAATAAATGAAAATGAAATTTTGTCAGTAATTATGTTGCCAATTGTAACTCGAGATTTGGTTACTAAAGGGAGGACTGACTTCATATTCTTAAAAGGGAAAACTGTCATTGTAGAACTGTTAATGTCATCGTGCCCGTGTCGATTGTGTGCGTGTGAGGCTCGTTCGGATCAGAGAGACCTGTGGTAATAGAATAACGACACCTCCCTCAGGAATGTGTTACCCAGTTTCCCTTAACTTTGTCATTCACAGTTATCCGGGTTTTTTTGTACGCTTGATTGTTTATTTAGCATGCACACGTTTTCATTTTCATTCATTTACCGCCCCCGTAATTTAACCGTGTGTCTCTGAGGCAGATCTTCATTGTAAAGCCTGCATTATTTTTGTAAAGTATTTATTAAGTCGTAGCCGAGTTTAAGTCGAGCGTCTGTGGCCAAAGTTGAGATTCCTCTCTGGCTCATGCTTCGCCATCAGGGTGCGTATCCATGTCTCAAGTTAGGGTTAAATAGAGCAGAAAGAATGTGTGAACTGTACGCGACAATGTTTCTTTTTTTGTTATTTTGAGATATAAATCTATAAATAAAATTTTTTAAAGCCAGTGAATGTGTAAGATGATAGAAAATTGAAATTTTAAGCCATATCACACAGTCCTAAGAGTTCTCCCCTGGCATCAGCGGGAAAAGAAAAAGCATCTTTAGCCGATCACAAGACTTTAATTAGTTCTATCCAGTGTGGCTGTCGGGACAGGCTTTTTGATGGGATTGTGATATTTCTTCAGAGGGCGAGGAGAATGCAAATTCTTTGTCTTTGGCATGTATCCTCACATTCCTGAGTAATTTCTCAGTGTACACACGCACACAGACACACACACTCGGTGCTGCATCTCTGCAGCTGAGACCCCTGACCGTTGCCTTTCCACTGAATGCTGCAGTCATTGTCACACAGAGAAAGCCATTCATGGTGCCCTCATTCCTGCAGTTTTGTGTGCAGCACAGCTGGCTGGGTGTAGGACTTGTCTTTATAATGCAGCAGGCCCCAGCACGTTCCACACCCCTCAGGCACAACTCGCAAACGCCTAGTTTTTTTTTTCTTCTCCCACTATTCGTAGAAATTTTCTCCGCACGCCTTTTTCGTCTTGTTTTTCCTCAAACATTATGATCAGCAGCCCACCTTCGAATACTCACGGCAAATTACATTCCATTTAAATGTAGATATTCTTCCCCTGTTCGCCTTTCCTCCTCCTGAGCGCTTTAAGGCTAAGATTACAGTAACCTGCATGGATCGTTATCTTTAGCAGCAGGTCTACTGAACAGGCCACGAAGATCAAAGCGGGGTGTTCGTCTTTATTTTGAACCATTAGTGCCAAGCTCAAATTGATGACATACCTCCAACCCCACCTTAACCCAGTATCTCTTCTCCAGACAGGCTCCACGTGTCTCCAGAGCAGGCGATTACTCGTACACCCGACTCATTTTTCATCTCTCGTTTTGTCTCCCCTCCCCCGCGAACACAAGGCACAATTTTGCCCCGTCTTCTCGAGCCGGCGTAGCAGATTGAGTGTTGTGAGAGTAACTGGCATGAAAATGTGCTGACCGTAGGGTGTCAGCGAGGCCTCGCTTTTGTGTTACTATTTCCACGAGTCTACTCTGGTATGCTTCAAAGGACGCAAAGCACCATATTAGTGGTATATTGTCAAGGATCCGAAAGGGCTCATTAAGCATCACCAAGATATGATTGTTGGGATTTTGTCTCTATTTTTGTTATGAGAAGGAAATCACGTCCAATGTACTTAAACAATTTTAGACCAAGTTTGACAGGGTCGGCTCTGGGAGTTCTCAGCGAACTGCGGGAGTAAAAAACAAAACAAAAAAGAAAGAAAGAAGAAAGCAGTGGAAACTTGGATGTGTTCACGTAGTACATCAAGATAAGCTTTAGGTGTTCTGCTGTGGGTTTTTTTCCTAGAAATGGTTCACATTAAGACAAGTTCAGGTGGTTTGTTTGCCATGCTTTGGGAGTTAAAGAGCCAGGTTTTATGGTGGCAATTGGGCATCTCTTTGTTTTGTGGTGTGGTGCAGATGTGGTGGGGCCATTTTTAGCCTCTCTCTTTCTCTCCCTCACTTTCCTTCACTCGCCGCCTTAGCTCTGCTACTTTATGGGTGGTGTAGCACAATGCAGGAAGTGTCTGGGCCACAATACCACAGGGCTCTAATTGCACGGCAAACTTAATTAAAAGGTTAGTCTTTCGTCTTCTAATCTGGAATAGCTGACCTGGATCAGGAGTTTGCTTATCTAGCAGCCACCTTCCCTCCACCTCCCAACCCCAACCTTCGCCAGCAATGCTCCGCTTGTAACACAGGACGGGCCGTTGGCACTCTGCCCCGTCACAGGCTCTCATCTGTGGCACAGCGACACAGGAGGGAGTGGGTCATGGGGGCATAGGGGCGTAAGTGCCTGCTCGTACAGCTGAACAAACAGGTCGAGCAGATATGGAACTTCTGAGAAGGCACGGTGCCTTGCTCAACCCCTGCTGCGATGACATTGCTGAGAGGGCAATGATCCTTGGCTATAGCATCTGAGGCAGAACGATGACAGAGCAACTTCCTGAACACACGTTTTGTGACACCTGCTCTTGTCTCGTTCCCTCTATAGGTCAAAAGTAAATCCACATGCACGTGTCCATCCCACAGACAGCTTCTACAAAACATACATGGAGTACGGTGTTCCAGTTACAGAGATGACACTGGAAGTGCCTTAAAGACATACAAGCTCTGTACTGGCAAAGTCTGGTCCACTTGAAGATCTGCTGGTTTGATCACAACTTTGCAGACCTGATTTTTTAAGAGATGCACAATTTAAACAAACAAAAAAAAAAATTATATGAGACAATAAATACATAAAAAAAAAAAAAACCAGCAAACGCAGAGTATTTGAAAAAGGCACAGTTCATTTTAAATCCATCGGATCTTTACAAAGAAATGATAATAATGCAAGCACTACACACAACATCTTTGAAATCAATATAGGAAACAAGGGAAAGCTGTGAGGTCTCAGTGAGTAGAACTATTGAAACTGTGGCTCATTTCTAAGGCCACGTGCACTGCCTGGTTTCAACCCCCTCTGTGAATACGTGTTGATGTTAGACACTGGCACAAAGTAGCAAAAGCGGTGTCGACGGGATGGTGTCCCTGAGGTGGTGAAGGAGGGGAGTCAGCATGAGCACGGAAGCTGCAAGGCCATGACTCACTGTGACAGCACCGCTTGGCATGTGAGGACAGCAAGCCAGACAGGCAAGGCTGCTGCCTTTGATCTTTATTTGCTCCACCGTCTGTTTTGCATTTAAGAGCCTTGCTGAGCGCGAGGCACTGGATACACCTTGAATGGCTCAGGATCACGGTCCACTTTTTAAAGACCCAGGATCCTTTTTCAAAGCTAAGGGGATTCAGGACGAAGAGGGATGATGTTTGAAGGCGAAGGTTTGGAGCTGAATGGGGCAGAGGGTCTCCCGGCAACACAGATTAGCTTTGATGAAAAGGGGGGCGCTCTGTAATAACACATGATCGAGCTGACGGACAATGTCGGGAGGGTGGGTGAGGGGAAAGGTAACACGTGTCCATTTGGATGGACTCTCGAGATGAAACCCAGGGTGAGGCAAGTGTGGAATAAAAACAAACACGCACAGCACCCCCCCAAAGCAACCTCGCCATCCAACTCCTGCATATTATTCCACTTCACCAACATCTAATGACTGTAACGTGTTCCATGTGATTGGAAAACTGGCTGGGAAGCATTCCACAAGCAGGCACGGTGCACTGACAGGGAGGCATTTCTGCCTTCAAACAACAAATATATATTTATCTTCTTGAGCAGCTCTATTGCACATTCCTCCTAGACACTACAGTGACCACAATCCAGAGCGAGCGCCAGCACTTTGACAAGCCCTGCCCCGGAGCCTGATACAAATCACATAAATAGCTTCTCTCTCCAATCAGAGGCTCGAAATGTTTATTTATGAGGGATCAAAACAATACAACTTAAGAAGAAAACACATTTTGAGAAACATTTAAAATGGAAAATTTCAACGCCTTCACGAACAGATTTCTTTTCTTCTTCTACTTTTTCTTTCCTCCTCCTGCAGATTTTCTGTTCCCATTTCTTTCCAGCATGTAATTTATTCTCAGACTATACATTTTTGGGAGTCCACACTTTAGATTATATTTATTCTGTCTGCGAGGGCTTACACAAACTGCTCTCCAAATAGCAGTGAGCGTCTTATTTCGGAAAAAAGGTACGGCTGGGAGAATACGCCTCATGCCGAGGAGTTTAAAAGGACTCAAAGACAGACGCGGATACGTAGCAACATACATTTTATTTTACCTTCTGAGCACTTTAGGAAGCGGTGCACGTATGATTTACATAGCTTATACCATTTTATATTAGTTGCATTTTTTCAAGTAAACAATAAACAAGCTATACCGTGCTTTTGCTGGGACTGAAAGTCTGAGCAAAGAAAAAAAGAAAAAAAGCAAAACCAGAGAAACCAAATATCCCAACAAAAGTTTCAATTCAGACAATTATTCTTTTCAAGTACAATTCTCGACAGCACCATTTCACGGGCTTGATGCATACATTAGTTTTTAACTGTACTTTGTTTTAGCAAGAAAATACACGTCTCTGTCACTGGGACTGTACAAATATAAACTGTGATTTCTATATGATGACTAACAGTCCTGTTTGGCGCTTGGGTCAAATGTTGCTGCCTGAGCACTATATATAGATATATATGTATATATAAGCATCACTCTGGAAGTGCATAGCTTCCTGCTTCTTGAGCATTTCTGCACATCAGAGAAAAGAAAGTGGCTTATTGTGGATTTTGCACATGCAGTATCTAAGTATTCACATTTAAAAAACAAAAATAAAGCAAAGCAAAGTCTATGGCTGAAACGGTTAGAAAGTTCATCAAAGATGCACATGATGCTACATTAAACAATACGCTGGAGGATTAATAAGAACATGTGTGTACGAGTATGTGTGGAAGTTGTACGTGGAAAACTAAGCAGGCTTTGTGTCACCATCCAACCCTTGCAGCTTTAATTCTTCATTCCTGATAACCTCGAGTCGCAGGCATTCCACTCGGTGCAATCTGACATCTTTTTAACATTGAAAAGTATTTTAAAAACGCAACAAGGTTTTGCATTTGAAATTCCTAAAAGTTTGAAAATAGTCACATCTGTTCAGTAATATAAAATAATATGAATATCCACCCTGTTTTGCCAAAAAAAACACAAAATTATAGCTTATATACAAAAGGAAAGAAGCCACTTTTAGTTGAAAAACAGTAACAAAGAAAAGAACATAAAACGGCGCATCAAGGCAATGGTGCATCAAGTCTAGTCCAGGTGACACTGGAGAGCTCGGGGATAAATTGGCATAGAGTACATGCTGGAGGCAGACAGTGGCAAAGGGAAGTCCTGTAAGTGCACTAAGTAGAAGCCAACACTCCTCCCTCCTTCCTGGACACCTGTTTAAACAGCGAAACCTTATTACTTCTGGCATCACAAAGGCCGTGGGGAGGTGAGGGTGGTGTGTGTG